GGAAACAGCTGCTGACGAAATTTTTCTTCCTTAAGATTGTCTGAAAGATCGGGTGCTGGAATGTGCGAACACTATATGAGACTGTGAAAGCTGCTCAGGCGGCTAGAGAGATTGATAGGTACAACCTAGAAATGGTAGGACTCAGCGAAGTAAAATGGACATCATCAGGGGCAGTAACCTTGTCATCAGGACATACTCTTTTGTACTCTGGACCACAAAGCAAAGACGATAACCATCAAAGTGGTATAGGATTCCTACGCAGGAAAACTACCCAATCCGCACATTTAAAAGGGAACTCTGTCAGAGAGAGAATAATAAAAGCAAGATTTATGATCCCGGTGCTACGCACCATCAAATGTAGCATAGGAAGATAGTAAAGAGGAGTTTTACAAACAACTCCAGTCCACATTTGATGAATCAGCATCGGACATCCTGATTGATAATGGTGACATGAATGCCAATGTTGGAAGAGATAACACCGGGAGAGAACTCATCATGGGAAAATAACGTAAAGGCGACATTTATAAAAGGAAATGGAGAACTTTTTTGGGAATTTCTGCTCCCACAAAGATCTGGTCGTAAGGGGGCACAACATTCCCTCACAAAGATATTCACAAAACAAAATGTGTTTCACCAGACATGCGAACAAAGAATCAGATTAACCCATTACAATAGCTAGCAGGTGGAGAAAGAGCATGATAGATGTGGGGCTTACATATCATCTGACAACCAACATATCATTGCTAAATTGAAGATAAAGATAGCCAGCCAGTACCCGTGTTCACAAAGATTTAAGGATCAGGATCAAGATTAGAATCAAATTTAAAAACTCAAATATTCTCCATTATTTATGCTCATTGATTAAATATTCAATATTAAATTGATAAAACTGGACTTAAAATTAGCATGTTTATGAAAGTTTAGAATTTTTACAAGAAATGGGCATTTTACAGTTGATCCAAATTTTTGATCTTGATCCTTAAATTGATCCTCATTTTGATCCGATTATTTTTGTATTTGTTTTAATATTATGGTTGATTTTATCCCAATGTAGGTTGGTTTCTTTGCAAATAGGCATTTTTTTACAATTCGAATATGTACCATTTAATTCCAGCATAATACAATCAATTTTAGTTTATAAAACAATGAAAAAAAATCAGGGTCACCTGATCCTGATCTTTTCTTTGTGAATACGGGGCCTGGGCATCAAGAAAAGAGTAGTCAATGAACAAAAGGTACAACACCAGAAGATAATAAAATCCAAACAAAAGCCAACATTTTATTTTTCAGCTGAACAAACGCTTCCAAGCACTAGCAGAAATGGATGATGGCAAATAGAATATAAATTGGAGAGAGTTTACTCCACATTTACCATCACTTGTAAGAAAGAACTTGGTTTTGCTAAGAGTGAATACAAGGTTTGGCTGTCTGACAAAACTATCAAGGCAATACAGAAAAGGCAACTAATAAAGATACAACCGGAGCAGGCAAAGACCAGATCTTAAAAACAGACAGAACACACAGAAAGCAAGAGAAAGGTAAAGAGAAAAGCCAGAAAAACAAAAGAGACTACGTCAATCAACTAGCCTCACAAGCAGAATATGCTATGGTCAGAAATGACGCCAAGACCGTGCATAACATCACACGTCAATTGGCTGGATGAAAGACCAACTCATTTAAACCAGTAAAAGACAAATATGGGAATGCTATCACAAGACAAATAGCTCGAACGTTAGATGTACCACTTTGCAGACCTCTTGAATTGCGAACCAGTTCAAAATGCACCCAATTTACCACCCCGGTGAAGCCCTTGATGTTGATATTGGCCTTCTCACGAAAGATGAAATCGTGAAAGCATTACGTAACATCAAAAATGGAAAAGCACCAGTACCAGACCAGATTCCACCTGAGGTCATGAAAACCAACTTAGAGGTCAGCAATGAAATCTTTAAAGATCTGCTGAACAACATATGGGAATGTGGGAAATAGAAGAGATACCTAAGGATTGGAGTCCATGCTACTTCATTAAACTTCCAAAGAAAGGGAACCTAGGCAATTGCCAAAGCTGGAGAAGAATTTAACTGCTGTCTCTCTCTACAAGCAAAGTCCTAGTAAGAGTAGTCCTAAGACGAATCAAAGGAGCAAAAGATGCAAAACTACCTGATGAGCAAGCAGGATTTCGCTGTAGACGTACATGCACCTACTAAATTGCCACACTACGTATCATTATAGAGCAGTCATTGGAATGGCATTCGCCTCTATATATCAGTTTCGTTGACTTTAAAAAGGCGTTCGTCATTGTAGATAGACACACTGTTGAAGGTTCTACGCCATTACGGCATTCCGGACAAACTTGTGAGGATCATACTACAATAGCATATGCCAGGTCATTCATAACTCCACACTTTCACCATCATTCTGTCACCTCTTATCTTTTCGGTTGGCATCGGCTGGATTATGACACCAAAAGATATCAAAGAGTCACTCACTGCCAAGCTTGAAGATCCAGACTTTGCAGATGACAAATTTAAGCCGATCCAACTGAAAACAACAGTTCTTTTCAACACAGCAAAATCAACAGGCCTGGAGATCAACACCTCTAGAACCAATTCTTTGAGACTAAACACCAGAAACAACTGCCATCACAATAAACAACCAATCCATCGAAGACGTCAACCAGTCTCGTATCTAGGAAGTATCGTCTCTAAGAATCGGGTAGCTGACGATGACATCAAATCGGGACTTGGTAAAGCCAGGCATGCCTTTGTGACCCTCAGACCGCTATGGAAAAACAAGAACATCAGCCAGAAGACAAAACTGAGAATCTTTTAGATCAATGTCAAATCAGTTCTTTTGTATGGATCAGAAACCTAGAAACAAACTAAGAAAACAAAACGAGTATGACCTGCAGGTTTACGTCAAATACCTCCGACAGATCATACAAATGAACTGGTCAGAGAAGTTCAGCAACTCAGAACTGTGAAATAGAACAGGCCAGTCATCCATCACAAGGACCATCAAAAACGAAACTAGCATTGAATAGGACACATTCTGAGGCGACCCCAGAACAACATCTCAAGGCAAGCTCTGGATTAGAATCCTCACGACAAAAGAAGAAATAGACCAACATCCACCTGGAGACGAACCATAAACGCTTAGCTGAAAACTTTCAACATCACTTGGACAGAAGCAAAAAGAGCAGCAATGCACTTACCTAAATAGAGAGCTGTTGTGAATGCCCTTTGTCCCACAAGGGGATAACAGGATTAGGTCAGGTAGGTCAGGACAATATCTCGATAAACATTGATCGGAAATTTTAGAATAATACAGCCACGCGAAAAATACAATGACGTCAATTTTAAAATATTTGATATACGGTGGCTTCTCTTGGCCAAGGGATTTTTTTCTAAAGTTACAAATTTCAAATTAATGTGGTAAGAAAACCCCAAATACAAAATTATGCTTCAAGTACCCTTAACTGTAGTGTCCCTTTTTCAATCAGTTCTAACATAGAAGTTATATTGACTGGACAATAAAATCACTCATATGACCCTCTATCCATATATTATCAACCTAGACTTTGTATTTATTTAGTTATTTTAAGTTTCAGATTTTCAGTGATTGATATATAAACAACAGACGGACATACGGATGTAAACATTAAAATGTTAATTATCTCCATTTGGCCCTCCACACACCAATTATAATCAACCATGCTTCTTCGCTTTGTGAGTTATTGCAAGATCAATATTTTAGATGGCCAGGATGCTGACAAATTGGCGGATTGAGGGATAAAAGGCCAATATGACGTGTGTAATTTCCATATTTCCCTCTTGTTACTTACCAAGAAAAATCTATTTACCTTTGGAACTTTTTGAGTTATATCAGATCCGGATATTTCTATCTAAAAGACAGATGGATGGATAAAAAATGTAAAAGATAATGTCTGTATAGTAAATCTTTTTATCCACATCCCTAGTTTCATCAACGTAGTGTCTTTATATTTATGGCAAGATTAATATTTTTGATTGAAAGAATGACAGACTGACAAACGGATGGAAAAAAATGATGTACATAATTTCCTTATGGCCCTCTATAAAAATTGTTTGATGACCACTCGCTAGATTGTCGGAATTTTTATAAAAAAATATTCGGTTGCCAAATCATTTTCATACTTTTCTGGTTTTGAAACAAATGAAAGACATCATTAGAAAGGTTGCTGACTGGATATGTATAGAAGAATTCAGTCTCTGCTGTAACTAGCATGGGGATTGTGTGGCGTTATCTGAATAATGCATCTCCTTTTCTTCAACGTTTAGGCAGTGCTTATAATTTACAATGACAATAACAATAGACACATAAGAGTTTAAGAATGAAATGTGGTAATTAATATCAATTTTACAATGGCTGGTGAACTCTTCAACAATGGTAGTTGTCCACTATCAAGATGAAATATTGTTTATGTTTTCCGATTTGCAGGGCCAACAAAATAAAAACAGAATAAAGGCGTACAAAATTAGGTTTTAAGAGTTCAAGAACTAGCAAACTGATCATAAAATTTCATACGTTAAAGGATGGTGCAAGTAAAGGAACGTATTGAACATACAATTCGAGCACATTGTTTTGATAGTAGTGGAAATTGTTAAAACCATTATACTGAAGGTAGAAAGTCACCCACAAAGACTCTTTTTCAATTTTTCGATGCACCGTAGGTCTATGAAGCCTTGGCACGATTATTGGTAAAATTAAAGTCCATGGTATCGTATGGAAAGGACAGTGACATGTTGTGAAGTTGATGCTATTCTTAAATACTCTAAGTAGGAAATATATCTTTTGGAAATTCAGTTCAAATTCGTGACAAGGGCCAATATAATCGAAATTAAATCTTAAAGCAATACATCTTGCTATCCTTTAGAAAAGGTAAATTAATACATGTGCTGACCAGTAAGCTTACGAAGATTTTAAGTAACATCCATGATAAAATTAGATAAGTGCATTTAACTACACTACGTGTAGTGCAAAGTTTATAGTACGTCACACGAATGTGAATAAGATGGCTTTTTGTAAGTAATTATTGAATAAACTATCAAATTGATTAAATGTAATTTTTATTTGTATTTTCTACATATATATTATACTTAGAAACTGAAGGTAAGACATTATTTCATATTAACCAATTAGTGCTTAATAGTTTCTTGCAAAGATATATTGGACAAATTAGAGGTATTTAAGATGCAACCTTAATATATGATGTACTGTATGACAAAAAGGAGAAAGAAACCAATTTGTTTTAATATTTTACAAACATTAAAGACGACATATTTCTTTACATGATTTGTACTACAAATTAATGGCATTATGTCTCCTTCGTCTTAGATTGGCAGCATATTATAATACTTTGTCATATTGTCTAATACGAGTTAAGTGAAAACACATCTGTAAGGTGATTATAATTTATTGTAAATGGGTATTCATACATCAGATGTATATATGGAATCATTATAGATATTGAAAATTATCATAAAGCACACATCACACATTTACAGCTGCACTGATTGTTGAATCTAAAAATCAAATCAAAATTAAATGTATTTACAAAGAGTTTATTAACGAAATTAATGGTACGTTAAATTTATTGTTGTCTTTTTATATTTTTATATTGGACAACTGAGAGCAAAGCTTGGTAAGGATGATTATAATCTGAATATGAGTGATATTAAACAAATATTATTTAAGATTTTAACTGATTTCATAAACCGTTTATATGTTTTCGATATTCGTTTTCAGCCATGTAAAGTAAATCATTAGAATAGTTTTTGCATAATATTATAAGCTATTCATAATGAATCAGTCTGCATTCGTTTTCATGAACCAAGATAAAAAGCGTGGTTAAATGATAAAGTGTGCTTGCATTGACATGTGAACCATACTGTTAAGCCGTATCATTTCTAGTTATTGATGTGTCAGTCCGTTAGTATCTAGCTGTCAAGGTCATGAAGCATGTCAAGTAAATTGTTTACACTGCTTAATATGTGTAATGAGATACGTATCAAAACCAGGTTTCGATATTAAAATGGACCAGCTTGTAGATTTAGATAGAAATAAATTTTTTATAGTATACTAAAATATAAAAAAGACTTTATAAAACTGTTGCACAATAACTCAAAGGAAAAGAACGAAATCGTTGTATCATACTGACAACAATTATTTTAGATTTCTTTAGCTAAATTCTTTACAACTATAAAATTATCAAATTATTTTGAAACTTCTTTAAAAACATACAAGCATAAACGTTAAGTCAAAAGTGTCAGCTGTTTTAATAACTTACAAAATGATAAATATGTATTGAGAAAATAATATGTGTTACATTGTTTTAAATAACGGATTAGAACGCCATTTTAGCATTCACAGTAGTGCTATACTATACGATTTGTTTATCAAAGATATGAAATAGAGATAAACAAAATCCCTAAATAAAGTCCAACACGATACAATTGAAAATGTTCGGTTTGATTCAGCCTGATCATGGACGGTACTGGAAAGTGCAAGTTACCATCCACGCCTCATAGCACAGGTTTAAGCAGAATTCAACTTTTAACACGAAAATGGTGACCTTGTTTTACTTAAGTAGCAGTAACTGATTTGTAAATTTCTTGTTTCGGTGACATTACATCTTTTGTATATTTTAAATTAAATTGAAGATTCATAAAGCGATTCTTAATGATAATGAGATTTTCACAAGATAAGTCCATAGAAAATGTGTTACTGTTTCCCCATTTTATCTTTGTTTTTTAAGCTTTGCTGATAGACAAAAAATATAAGTGTTTTAGAGTTGTAACAGATTCTTGCTGTAAAAAAGATTGTTTTTAAGGTATGTTTATGATGCCTAATGCGATCGCCTATTTTCATTGGTTAATTCTTTCAAATCGGAACTCAAAAGCATTGTTTAGTAGACAAAGCAAACACCTTAAACTGATAATGTTTTCAACTAGACCATATCATGATAAACATTTTTGCGGAAATTACAATACATATAGATAAAATTCTTTCGCCTTCATATTTTCAACAGTCAAACGAAAGCTTTTTAAAAAAGTTCCAAAACATGAAGTGCTACAGGATCTGCCCGCATCTGCTGAACCATGGAGAAGTTATAATGACTTAAACGATGGATGGAAAGAAAATGTAATATTATCAAGTTTTATGTAACAAGACATTTTAAAGCCTTAATCATTACTAGCTTATCTTACTGACCTATGGTACATTTTCGTCATTTAATGTTCGATTCCCACTTTTATACAAGAAACATCAGAAAATTGTTCTATTCTAATTATTAAATTCATCCCTATGTATATTAATAAATAAAACTTAGGCTATCTGCAATTATCGATAAGTAATCCCATCAGATTTTACTGTTTGTTTTTGTATTAGACAGGCAAAGTTTGTATCTAACAATTAAAGCACCTTTTGTAGTATTATCTGACACTGCTTTCAAAGATTGGGGAAAAAACGACCAAAGTATTGAATAAACCTGACGTCTCTTCTGATACAGTAAATATCATGTTGCTTGGCTATGTTCAAAGCGGAAAGTCATCAACCATCAACTCATTTTATAGCATACTTGACAAGGAAATTTGTAAACGGGCAAAATCAGGGGAGAGCACTACATCGTTTACACAGAAGGCCAGTATTAACCTATATTCACATATTCACCACAATGCATTTATTATACTTACTTACCTGAACAATATGTGCAGATTAATCTTTGCAAAGGTGTTTATTTGCCAACATATGTTCGAATACATGTTTGAATACATGATTAAATACTTTATAAAGGTTACCAATGGTCCTTTAGAATTGATACCATCAAGAGCACTCTGAAGTCAATCTATTTACTTCAAATGTATTCAAGTTTAAAGTTCAAAAAGTATTTATAAATTAAACATGCCTTCGAGCCAAAATACTCAACAAATATGTATCGTTTAAACATACCTTATTAATGTTTTGTGAGTTTTACAATATTTATATAAACACAAAAATAAACAATTAATCAATATCCAACAAATATCATTGATTCGAGGTTGGTTCAAAATGTAATGCAATATGGTCAATTAATTCAACAAAAGAGCAATTATTTTACTCGATTCTTTGTCAACCTTTCGAAATAATCTCCTACGAAAAGATAAAGTGCAAGATGTTTAGAGTTTTAAATGTTTCTACATAGTCCTCCATAAATGAATAAGACCGACCTATGTTCTTTTTTACTCTTGAAGCGATGATTTTCAAGATGTTTATTTAAGTCAAGGAAAGAAGAAAATGGGTCAAAAGGGCCAAGTATTGAGAATACGGTGGATGTATAATGAATGTTTCTCGCTTACCCCGAAAAACAATATAGGTCCTATGTGTGCAAGAACGCTGTCATGCAGAAAATACAAGTTTTTATTTTACTAGTGTTTTCAATTTTTACATGACATCTCTATAATTCGTTGATGTGACGGAACGGCATCTAGAAACAAGAATCTTTACAACAGTTGTAAGGGAAGAGTATTGCGAAACAAAACGTACAAAATGTTTTTGACATTATAATGAATAGCTGTCGAACATTTTTGGTAGCCCAAATCTTTCTGGTACACTTTTGCACTTGCGAAAAATATCAAAACCGACTTTAATCACCAGTCACAATTTTAGAAAAACGGCGACTCATTTATGAAACATTTCAGTTATTTTCAAGCGAACTTAACCCTCGCTCCTCTTTCTCGTCTGAATTTAATAAATGGGTTATCCTTCAGCAGTTATATTCCCCAAAACCGTTTGATATCCTTTCAATAACTATGGATCGTTTTCTACCAGATTTACAGACGTCCTTAATGTACTAGAGTCCATTTAGATATTAATGCTTACATCTGAAGATAAGATTCATAAGATTCTTTGTATTACAAATATCATAATAAATATTAATCGTATATAATCGTTAGCTTTTATGTAAGCCCGTATTTCAGCACTTTCAACAACCATAATTTACATGAAGTTACTCGTGTAAGGTATATTTATATGTGATTAAATTTTCTAATTGGTTGACTGCACAAATAATATTGGAATGATTTGAAAGCAGATGCTTTGAAACACAAACACAAATATAATAATCTTCAGCTAAACTAGAAAATATTATTCATATTGCATTACATATTGACCAACCCTCATACTATGAATCGTATAACATGAAGATAATGTTCGCTTCATAAAATGTAGTGATTTATAATAATTGATATAACACTAAAGCATACATTTAGGAATTATTTGTCAAATTGGTATGACAGACTTAACGAATTACCTTTATTATATGTAGCGATAAGCACTAAAGGTATATGTTATCATCCTTATTTATTTTTCAGTATACGTCATACAAGTTGGAGGATAAACTAGACAAAATCGTTCTGTACGATATTATGGGAATTGAACTCGGTCCTAATCAAGGTGTTCTCGTTAAAGACATCCAGGGTTGCATTGTTGGAGATATTAAACACGATTATAAAGTAAATAGTGTAGTACCTTTTAAATAAAATGGTTTCTTATTGTTATATAAAACAATGGAATATCAGTGCCAAAATATTTCTACTTGTTTATGGGGGAAAAGGTTTGCAGTCTACCTATAATTGTAATTATCAAATTTCAAAGTAGCAAAAATTACCTTAAATTTTCCTGTTTATTGGCTGGTCATGATGTTTAACTATTGGTTTTGTATTTGATTCGGTTTCTGTTGTAGTTCAACCCATGTGCTGAGCATAAAAGTACCTCGGACAAAGATCTTGAAAGAAAAGAAATACACTGTGTTATGTATTGTGTTGATGCAGAATCAGTAGATGAAGATGTAATACCTGGATTTGAGACAAAAATGCAAGATATAGAGTCCGAGTTGAGAGTAGCTTGTATGTATTTAGTCCATTTATTCTTAATTTAATCTTAATTTATGTTTAAAACATCCAGCTTTGCAACAAAATATCGGTTTATTTCAAATAATTCAAATGTAGCAGCACAAGCGATGTCAGAAGTGATTGTCGTGTCAGGTCTAAGTACAAGTTATCTTACATAGAATTTTATGTATTCCAGCACAGGACAGGATAGTGCTTGTTACTAAAATAGATGCAGTTTGTCCTGAGACAAAAGCAGACATCACTCAAATATTCCAAAGCACCAAAGTAAAAACGGTAGTCGAGAAAGCGGCGAGTGTTTTTCGAGTTCCTGTTAACCAAGTTTTTCCAATCAAGAATTACACAAACGAAATGGAAACCGATGGCAACAAAAATATACCATTGCTACTAGCGCTTAAAAAGGCAGTTGACTTCGGCACTGATTACCTCCGACAGAGGCTAGACGAAAAACATCGGGTCTACAAGGGTGATAAACAGGAGTCAACATCATAGATCTTCCTCGAATAGTGTTTATTCGTTATAGTGTGTATTCATGCTTTAAAAGACGAAAAACACATTTTATGTAAGCAAGATTCATCGTTTGAGATATTTAAAGTTCATATACTTTGCGACATATATTCATGTAATCTTTTATATTTGCATTATAATATACAGTGTAAATGTATTGATTTATAATTACTTATAGAATAAAAATTGAAAATTAATAACGATAAATCAATTAAAGCATTACAAGCCGAACACACATCATGTATTTATGCATTTTGCTGGTGCCATGTGAGGAAACATTGAGGCACAATAGACACTAAAAGGCACAAACTTGCGATATTCGGATTAATAAACAGTCAATAATGAGGCTAACGCTCACTTTTCAATTATGTCATTGTTACTGATATGTTAACACTCACGGAAACCAATTCACAGTAAAAATGTATGAGGAAAAGAGTTTCACATTATAAAATACTGTTATCTGTCGAATAAATTACACTTGATTTGAATGCTACAGATTATTCTTATTATTATGCCTGTATTACAATATTTATTGTAGATAAAGTTATTATGCTTTTTAATACATTTATATCTTTATTTAGTGTATCAAAATCTGCTGATTGCAAACAGTAGGTCAGTCACGTTATATGTTGGATCAAAAGTTACGTAGGAGTTTGGGGAAATTAAAAAAAGAGATGCTTTGGCAGAAGATACCTTAAATACTCAACCAGTAGCTTTATTGTCACCAAGTACTGATTTTAAACCTTCAATATTTTATCGCATTTGAATTTTGACAGATAATCAGATTGGGACAAAGCCATACTTAGCAAACATCATGATTTCAACCCCTCTCTATCTCTTCTTAAACGTGACGAATTATTAGTTATTCATATTTTTTTCTTAGTGTCGGATTGGACACATTAGAGCTACACATTCTTATCTTTTTACACGAGTTGATGCTCCATTTGTATAGCTTGCCATGAATACTTCACTGTCAACTTTCTTCTTGATTGTCATAACCTTGCATAGCTTGGTTACAGAAACTATCTATAAAAAAAAAATTCACCCTCAGAACATATGTTTTCTAACTAAGCTTTGGTAGTTTAGCACGGAAGAAGGTAGTCTAGTACTGGTGTAACTGTCCAGGAACGATGGTTAGGGGACTTCCCGCCTATATGACTGAAATACTGTTGGGAAAAGGCGTAAAATGAAACAAACAAACAAACAAATAAACAAAATCTCTTGCCGAAATTTATCATGGTTTGTGAAACTTCCTTAATTCTGTCTCTAACAGACGCTCCTTTACTCACATTATGCTTATTTTAGTCCCAATTAGGTCTTTTTTTCGGAAACGTTTCATTGCTGAAGTAATTTCTTCTATTTTAAGGTTTATGTCATCTTTGAAGGTCAAAGGTGTTTTGATATACATGCCTTTATAATGCCTTTCCGATATCTGTTGGTACGCACCAAGACCGCTATGACATTCAGTATGTTTTGCCAATATATTGTCTTCAGTTGTTTAAATTTCATTTACTTTATCGTCGGAAAATTCTTTATTATCAAACATTGATTTTGAGACTACATTAACAGCTTCGTTTGATTGCTTTTCGTCATTTCTTTCAAAAACAGGTTTAGCATTATTGTCCGCTGGTCAAGTTCCTGTATTTTTATAACACAAGATTCATGTATATCCATCATTTCTGTGTCCTATCTTTTATCATTAATATCAATGCCTGATGATATATCTAAGGTTTTCACCGGATTTTGTGATACTGTAATGTCATGGTCGTTAGATATTTGGTCATAGAAATAAAAGTTTTAGCTAATAGCTCTATTTTGGTTTGACATGATAAAATGAGCTTCTATTGTATATGTTGTATGTTTTATCGTTTGTTGTGCGGAACTAGTAGTCAAATTCAGCAGAGTTAGGTGGTTTGAAGATTTTTGAAGTTTAATTTTGTTGCATTCCTTCATTTGTGAGTTTCCTTTTTACCTCTTCAACATCAGCATTTCTCGTTCCTATAGCTTTGGTCGTATTGTCTTCATTTCTTATTTTATCTTCAACATCTTCGACACCTCCTTGAATATTGAGATATCTATAATTTTTGTCTTGACTAAAATTGTTCTCATTTAGGTTTTCATTCGGTAATGAATCACCCTTATTAGTGCCACTATAATTATCGCCGGTAAAGTCCAAAATTCCTTTTCATTCACCTTTTGCTAGCTCGGACATTTTTCAAATAATCCTGCATGAACGATCTTTTTGAATTAACGCAATTTCACGTCACGTTTGAATAAGAACAAAACGCACCAATTTGATTGTTTATAAACCAAAATCATAAATCTAGCGCAATAAATAAGCCTCAATAAAAATGCGCTGAAAAAATCAATCGAGTTATATCTTTAAGTGTTCATGAAACAGTTATAACTTATCAAATGCTCAAGACAAGATAAACTATCCTTTTGGTTGATAGTATACTAATAATGAATTAAATAGATAATGTTTATTTTTTACCTTAAAACACAAAGTGTGTTAATTTTAACCGAAATGAAACATCAACGCAACTAAACGAACTAAGAATATTTGCATAAAATAATGGGCAAAAAAAAAAAACAACTGTTTCATAGACCTGTTTCATAAAATTAATGTAAACTTCTTAAAGACTTGTAGTATGATAACAAGGCATTTTAAAGGAAAATGTATGGGATCACTCATTTTCTTTGAGTTAATTTAGGAAAAAAAAGTGCGAAAAGGGAGAAACTTACACATAGGTCTTTAACTTTTTTTTCAATTACTTTTTTCTTTATCCAAAACAAAAAAACTGATTTGCCTAATCCATTGCAGCATGAGCATTTTGTGAAAAAATGGCTGTTGTCATTGAAAAATATTTGTTCCAAGTTCAAATTGCTTTGAAACTATAAAAAATTCTACATTTGTCATCAAACTTGTAACAGATGTTGACTGGACTTAGGCTTTGTAATGACATCTCATTTTAACATTGCTTCTTACAATGGCAACGAGGGGACAAAATTGCCAAAATCACTATTTTGCGTTGATTTTTTTTCCATCAAAACTGATTTCAATGTGCTGCAACTTCTCAATGAATTGAGATAGAGTCAAAGGCTTTTCAGCGTTGGTTACACGTTACCTTCGGATCGACCTGAGGCAAATTTGAGCTTCCCACAAGTCCAAAAAATTTTTGGCGATGAGACCCCCATCAAACCCTTAGAAGAAGGGGGCACAACCCGCCTCTGGCACCCCTGTTGTATTTTTGATAGGGGGCGGCGCCGATAAATTGATCACTTGTTTAATGATATTTTTTTAAACGAAAACAAGTGTTAAGTCTCTAAATAGGGAATTCTTTACACCTTTTGAGGCTTCAGAAAGGGGGTGAAAAAGTGTGAAAAGACGTCTATATGAAGTTATGGGTTAAAGGGACTGATAAAAACAATGTATCAACAAATTGGCGAAGGTTATTGAAGGTAAAGTAGAAAATCAAATCACATCGTTTTTCTGATTTTCTGAATTTTTTCGCAATGCCTCGAAGGTCAGGTACAATAAAAATCAAATTTAAGGTAAAATATATATGTAAAACATCAGAGAAATGATCGTGTACTCAGATCATGCAATATTATTATAAAAGCTTTATTCTGTCTATATATTTTTATGATAACTCCAAAATTGTTATGACCAAAAATGTGACATAATTTGTATAATGGTTGATTAAAAGGGAGAGAGATACTAGGTAATATTAGCAATGTACTTTGAGCACTTAAGTATTTCAATTTCAGTACCTTCGACAGAAATTAATTGAAAGCAATTAAATTACATTTCTTAAACGCAATATTGATGTTTTATTGTTGTAAGTTTATGTTGAAGTAAATGCACTATGATACTATTTTATCAACTGAACGGCCTTCAAACTATTATATTGATAAAGGCATATTTAGATACTTTACTTATCTTGGACTATAGGTGTTCAAGTATTCAGTATAAATGATAGTTATTGTCAAAGTGGCAAAGACTAAAGGTATCTCAGGTAGGTTAATAGATTCACGCGTGCCTGTTACTGACATCATGTGAGTTATGTCCTTATTGTACATTTCCGTTGCATGATCTCATATGCCTTCTCTTAACCTACTTAGAAACAGATACAAGATAAAGGGAAAGCCTATATCGTATCAACTTTTTAATAAAACGAAACAAAATATTTTACAATTAAAGAGAAGCAACTCTGTTGTTTGAAAGTATGCAGAACATGGATTGTGTACCATTTATCACTTGCTGTGTTAAATATAAAGAAAGTAACAAAGCAAAAAATAGAGCCTCTGCAGTCATTTTTTGTCTCTTACATTGGTAGCTGAATAGCCATCTACCTTTCCACGGCTATTAACATCTATGTCCAGATGTATTTTAATGTTTATCCCTGATAGGAAGAATGCTTCGTAGGCCAAACCAAAGTGGGGGGAAGATTAAATCATCAGATTTAAAAATAACTTTGTGCAAAGAAAAATGAAAGGCTGATTGAAATGTGAAAATTAAACAACGCTTACTGCTCATTAATAACTATTATTGCTCAAGGCTATATTTGAATAGTAAAGAATTAATTCTTGTTTAGTGTTTTACCAGGGAGACATTCTTGTTCGATAAGTGTTCGATTACTATAGAAAAATTGTGAAATATTACTTCCTGTAAAGGTTTTAGAATTTCGTTTCCAAACAGGTTTTTATTACCGGAATGCGAAAGAAGGTCATAAGGTCAAAAATGAAGGGAACCATGACATTTCATGAAAAATGAAGTAAGACATCTAGATCCCTTGACTTCTCGACCCCTTACGATATTAAGATGACTTCTAGACCCCTTGACACTTAGACCCCTTTAAACATGACTTTTCGGCCCCTAGTGAGTAAGACATTTCGACCCCTATCTCAATTTTTGTACTTTAGAATCACAGATACTTCGAGAAATAATTTAAAAGTAACAGCAAATATTTAAATTATTTTCATAAAGGTATCCGATTAAATATTGAAAACTTAAGCATGTTAAGGTAAAACAATAATTTAACATTGTTTTTTATTCGTTTAATGTTATAATGTTACATAGAATTGTAGGATGGCTACATATCAGTTATAATATATAATTTATGTTAATATAAAATGATTGGGCGTGATATATCAAATTAGACCCCTGACTAAAAGTGAAGGAATTATGATAATGATTATAATGAAAATGTGCAATTTGTGCATTGCGTATTTATTCATATCTACAAGTTTGTAAAGATTTAGTTTATTTTTATGTGACAAACACTTACATGTTATATTGTTGATGAATTATTTTATATGTCTTCTTAAATTAGTGTATATATTCAATTGACATGTCAAAGTAGCAATGATCTCATTTTATGGTATTTACATTATGAATTAATTAAAAAACAACATACCAGTCAATCAATAAATGGTTGTTATTTGAAAGCGATCTTCATGTTTTCGATTAATTTTAATTTAAATGTATTTCGAAAATAACATTGTACTAATGTCTATATTTTACAACTATAATGTAAATTATAATATTTAGAAATTGCAGT